ATAACACTGGAGTAATTGGTGGGGTTTCTGAGTGATGGACCTGTGTTATTCCCATGCCTCACCCCATACACAAAAACAAATTCAAACCATATTAAGGACTTAAATGTAAAAATTAAAACCATAAAATTCTTAGGAGAAAAAGCAGGGGTAATGTCGTTTGGCCTAGTTTCCAACATGATATTATCTAATATAATAAAAGCAAAAATTGCAAAAGACAAAATCAAGAGGTTGGACCTCATAAAAATTAAGATCTTTTGTTCCTCAAAAGAATTTACCAAAAAGCTGAAAAGATAAGTTACCAAATAGGAGAATGTCTTCAGGAACCATATATCAGACAAGAATTTAATAACTTACATATAAAATTTCAACAGCCTAACAACAAAAAGACAAACAACTCAATCATAAAATGGGCAAAGGACTTGAATATGCATTTCACCAAAGAGGACATTCAAAACTGTGATCAAACACATGAAAAGACAGTCATCAACACTAGTCATCAGAATGATGCAAATCAAAACCACAGTGGGATACCATTACACTCCCACTAGGATGGTTAAGATAAAAGGAAACAAAAAATAGAAAATAAGAAATGTTGGCAAGTGTGTAGGGAAATTGGTGGTGGGAATGAAAAATGTTACAATCTTATAGTGTGGTGGTTCTTCAAAAACTAAAAATGGAGCTACCATATGATCCAGCAATTCTACTCCTAGGTATATGAAACTTGGAATTGAAAAGGCTTGAAAGAAGAGATTCAAAGTGGACAGAAAGTTCACTGCAGTACTATTTACAGTAGCCAAAAGATAGAAACAACCTAAATGCCCATCAACAGAAGAATGGATAAATAGTGTATTGCATACAATACAATACCACTCAGCCAGTAGGAGAAATGAAGTCTTGATACATACTACGATATGGATGGAGCTTGAACACAATATGCTGAGTGAAATAAATCAATCACAAAAGGACAAATGTATGACATCACTTATATAAAAAGACAATAAAAGGCAAATGTACAGAGAACCAAGTTTATTAGTGGTTACCATAGGTAGGAGGGAGAGGGAAAGCTGGGGTTAATGATGATGGGAATATCACATTTATTAAGGTTAAGGTTGCACAACAATTATTATAATTATTGTTAATAAGTTGAGCACCTGTAAAAAGTTGACTTGCCAAAAGTTGTGTGATACACATATTTACTACAACAACAACAAAAAGAGCTGAAGCTGTTGTGCAAAAAACCAAAACCTCATGGGATTTGGTTTCTAGGTTTGAATATTTAGGATCATGATTTCATGAGGCATCCTACTTAATTGGGCCAACAACATATTTAATGCTCCTATTCTACCTCCTGGTTGACTGCATAGTGCCTGGGGTCTTAAAAGCTTGAAAACATACATCTAAGGCACAATAATTAGCCTCTATTTACCTGGAGTAACAGAGAAAGAAAGAGAGTCAGGAATAAGAGGATGATATGGAGTATGTGATTAACTGTCTCTATGAACTACTATCTATTTTGCCATGAGATCAAATAACTGCATGGTGCCCAGCTACCTTTATTGAACATTTTGATCAAAGATTCCATAGAAAAATCCTGATCAAAAGAGGAAAAATACAGAACAGAATTTTAATTTTCTTGGACTCTAGATATTCTGGGGCAAAGGAGGCTGGATGAACCCCCAAAACTATTGCCCTGAGTTAATCTTTAAATCTTAAACCAAAAATATTCCCTGAAGTCTTCTTAAAATCAATAACAGTTTAGCTTAACTAGTAAAAAAATGTCTGTTTTGAACATTATGCTCTTTTAATAACCATCTATATGGGATCAAATTGGCAATAGAAACTTGAAAGTTTAGATAGGAAACTTGGTGGACAGTGATTTCATGTTAATGGGGGAGGAACAACTCAGAAAAGGAGAATGAGAATCATTACACAACTTGAAGAATGTAATCAAAATCACTAAATGGTACATGTGTAAACTGTTGAATTGGTGTATGTTTTGCTGTGTATATTCTTAACAACAGCAAAATAAATAAAATTATATTTTAAAAATGTGCTGAAGTGGTGACTTGATGGATGCTATAATGTCAGATAAGCAGACTTGGCAACCTTTATTTGTTGGAGCCTCTCTGGACCTATGGATATGACGGCATCCACACAAGGAAAGGTATAAAGCCTATAGGATAAATTTTTCTCCAAACTTTCTTCTTTGTTTGTGAAAAGCACCTACTCATCTATCATGATGATTCAAATACTTTGATATTCTTTTATTTTCTCTTCCTTTTTTTCCAACCCCTTTCCCTTGCACTGCTACCTCCTTCTACCAAAGCAGTCAATTCCTCCTTAAATTTAGGCCCCCTTCTAGCCCATAACTGAGTACCAGCCATGTCATAAAAACCAAAAGCACACTCACAGCCATTGAGTCAAATCTGACTCACACCTACCCTGCAGGACAGAATAGAACTGCCCCACAGGGTTTCTAAGGCTGTACTTCTTTACACAAGCAGATTTCCCATCTTTCTCCTGTGGAGAAACTGGTGGGTTCAAACCACCGACTTTTTGGTTAGCAGCCAAATGCTTTAACCACTATGTCACCAGGGGTCCTTTGACGTATAAAGATGTAGTATATTTTTTTATTGAATGAATGAATAAATAAATAAAAGTAAGATACATAGGAACTGGAATTGAGCTTATAGGTTTACATCTTTTAGCCTGTATAAGAGGAGGTGAGAATTAAAAAAAAAAAAAAAGAAGAAGAAGAAAGACAATTTACCCAAGCCATTAACTATATGGTTTGTGGTTGCCTAGTTCATCCCAGGCTCATATAGCATGGGCATTTTAATTTGTATATTCATGATACTGGCATTCTCACTGATTGTTTGAATACTTCTTATCTATCCAATTATTGAGAGTTGTAATCACACATGCACACACACATATGAATCTTGTGAGGATCTGTGGTATGAAGTGGCCCTAATTGCCCAGCTAAGGATTTATGAGGCAACACTTTTGGATCTTCAGATTTGCTGAGCAAAGATATGGCTCTCACTTCTTCAGTACGGCTTTCATCACATTTTGGTATTCATAAAGTGCTTTATTATTAGATCTGTCTTACAGCAAAAAAACAAAAATCCAATACTGGGAGTTGATGTGAGGTTTATTTGCTTTTTAAGGTGTGTCAAGTAGCTGGTTCAGTCCACCCAGCAACAATTAGACTATATTGTTGGTTTAGTCTTTTGTTCCAAGAACCTTATACTTTGCTTGCTTATCAACAGTGCCTGGGAGTCAGACAGTTTCTCAGTTTGACTCATGAAAATTTTTATCTACAGCCATGATCATGGAAAAAACCTCACATGCAATTCCTTTGATGTCTGACCTCTCCAAGCTCTATCTACAGTGGAATCACTGTGGTCCATAGTACTTGGCTGGAGAACCAGGGACAGATGATTAATTTACCCCTAGAGAAATGGCTGATTACAGGAGGTTCCAATCAAGATTTATTTTTATTTTTTGAATTCAAAATATATTTTAGATATAAAATAAATCAGTAAGTAGTGTTTTCCTATTAAGCTGAGTAGACAGTATTCATTAACTAACAAACAAAATGAATATATAAGCTTTTCCTATTTTTGGGAAAAGACAAAATACAATTTTGTAGAGAGAATTTTTCTCAGGCATATTTTGGGCTACAGTAAAATATGTGAAAACTCTTCTGGAGCCTGGCTCCTTGCCACATTTGCTTCAATTCAGTACTTGTTATTAAGCACCTTCTAGGAGCTCTGGTGGCGTAATGCCTAAGGCATTTGACTGCTAACCAGAAGGCTGGCGGTTCAAAACCATTATCCTCTCCTCTGAAGGAAGGTTGGGCAATCTACTTCCGTAGTGATACTGCCTCAGAAACCCAAACAGGGGTCGCTAGAGTTGGATCTGACTCGACGTCAGTGGCCTTAAACAATCCTAGGTCCTTGAGGTGGTGCAAATGGTTTGTGCTCAACTACTAACTTAAAAATTGTCATTCTAATCCACCCCATAGCACGGAAGAAGAAAGACATTGGCATTCTGCTTCTGTAAAAATTAGTCAAGAAAACGCTACTTTGTAACATATGGGGTACCATGAGTCAGAATCGACTTAATGGCAGGTTTGGTTTGGTTTTGGTTATCTGATACTAATTGTACTAGGCATTAGGCACTGAGGGAAACAAATGCAAAAAAGATATGATACTGTTCTGAAGAGATTCCTACTTCTCTCTCACCAGCTCTTTCCAATCTGAAGCTGAAACATGACGTATTTATTGTATTGAAGTTGGAAGGGACCTTAGTGATAATCTCCTCAAAATTTGGATATTGAAAACACTTTGAAGACTAAAAGAGAATTATACTCCATTCTTTCAACCATGCAACTAAGAATAAGAACTTGGACATGTTTAAAATCTAATGAGAATTGATTAACAGTAATACTACTTTTTGATTACAATGATAATATCACTTGCTATGTTTACCTTTCAATTAATAGCAACAATAAAAGGCCCCCCCCACACCAAAAAAAAAAAAAACCTCACTGCCGTGGAGTTGGTTCCAATTCATAGCAACCCCTCCTTTGGTTTCCGAGGCAGTATCTATACAGAATTAGATTACCCAGACTTCTTCTGACGAGTGGTTGTTGGGTTTGAAATACCAGCCTGCTGGTTAGTAGTCAAATGCCTTAGGCACTATGCCACCAGAACTCCTAACAATAACAATAGCACTTAAAATACAGTGATTTTCCTTAAAATAGAGAAACAGTATTATGTGGATTAATTTAGAAGATGGTTATCATTGACTTAGAATTCTAGAGGATTAGTAGGGTACTCCTATTATAGAACTCATAGAATTGGAAAAGATCTCAGAGGACATCTGGCTCAACATCTCCTTCTTCTCAGAATTTACCTACTTTAAAGAGAAGTTAAAGTCTCCTTCCTCATCCCATTCTCCCTAGGTTCTCTTATGAAATATGTTGTTCTTACGTGTCACTAAGGGTGTCTGAGCAGAGCAGCTAATCTGCAGGGATCCAATGTTGAGGGTGGTCAGGATGGTCTCTGTGTCCACCAGAGTCTGACTGCTTGATGGTTTGTATGGTGGGGACAAGACAGCACACATGGAACATTCCTCTATGTTGGCTGCTTGGAGGTCTCCAGAAAAGAGTGCAGATCCCTAATGAGACAAAGCAGGATGGAGAAACGACAGCGCTTAACAGATGAAAGAATTGATGGAAGGATTTTATATCATAGCTCATGGGGGTGGCTTTATGTGAGTGATGTTTTTTTCTGCCCCAATCCACTCCAGCTTCTACTGTCTTGATTGTAAAGCATAGTTTCCTGATATCTGACACATTTAGTGTTATTAATCATTACTATCTTAGTTTTATAAATTCTACAGGCCTTGTCCTGAGAGCAAGTCTATATGAGTTAAAGGAGGGTGGGACAGGAGGAGCATATGTCCACTTAAGTGACTAAGGTGGGAGAAGAAAAACAGAAGAAAGGTAACTGAGGTAAGGGGAAAAAAAAATCAGGGAAAGCAGAGAGTATGGATCTAAAGAAAATTATTAATCTTCACACTTCTGCTGATAGCTGACACCACTTGTGCTCTCTGAATTAACTAGCACAGTGGCAGTTGCTTCTTTCCTTTTGGGGACAAACAATGATAGATGTGATCCCACCTTCAGGATGCTTAGATTCTGGTAGTGGTAATTTCCAGTACTAAATTGATTTGGAGACTTTCAGTCATTTTCTTTTTCTCCTTGCTCTGGACTAAAGCAAGAGAGTGGGCAGGGGATTTTATGGTAGAATAAATAAATAAAATTGGACAGCTCCTGGAATCATTTTTGAAGTTTTTTAAAAAATATTTCTTACATATTTTCAGAACTGTTTTATATTTTAAAAAAAATCAAATTATTTGGTAAATTTCACAGTGCATACAATGGACTGGACAATACATCCAGGGAAAAGATAGAAAAGGGTAGAATAGAGACTTGTGAAGGTTTAGCACAAATATAACTACTATAATACCACATGTGCATAATTAACTCATTTCTCAAAAAAATGTCAATCTAATTCTTCCTCCTCACACATCTATCAGGGAGCATTATGTGCTCCAAGAGAAAAGATGAGAAAGAGCATGAAGTATGGCCAGAATTAGCTTAGAGTTAACCATGAAGTCAGAAATGCTGCTGAAAAACTTTTGTTTGCACAAAAGCCATAACACATGGAGTTTTGACTCAGGAGCTACAATGTCTAGATTCAAACCTAGTTCTGACACTTACTTGCTGTGTGATCTTAGGAAAGTTATTTAATCTCTCCATTCCTAAATTTTAACATCTTTAATGTAATCACCCATACACTTATTTTGAGGGTTAAATGAGTTAATCTATATAAAATGTTTAGAAGAGTCTCTGATATGCAGCAAACACTATATAACTGCAAGCTATTACTATAACTACTACGTCTACTTATAGTGTTATCATCATCATAAATATTCACTATCCCTAACAGAACACTTACAGGCAAAATATATATCTGGGGAAAGTTCTGGAGAAATCGCCATTCTCTCTGTAGGTAATCCAGGGACCCAATAAACACAATGTCCTTCAGCTCCTTCAGGGTATAGTTGCTGGCTCTCAAGGGCATTACAAAATTCCGAAGTCCCATCAGAGTTGAGTGAGCATCTCCAAAGACACATGCTACAACGTGGTTTCGAAATTCATATTTTCTCTTATCAGATCGTTTCTAAACACAAGCATGTCAGAGTTAGGCATTTGTTAGAAATAAGAGGAGATCACTCCCATTCCGACTCCTCTAGGTATATCCACAGAAGTAACTTCATAATGTTAATATAATTTTGCAAATTGTTTTTTTTTTTTTTTTTTAGACATCTACTTGTCTAGATTGCTTACATTAATACCCAAGTCAGCATCATTCATTAGTCAGGGTAAAAAATCACTCGGCCAGATGGGGGAAAAATTTTTATTTTCATTATATGTTGTTAATATCATGTGTACAAAAGTAAGATTGAGTGAAAAAACTTAGACATTCCAAATTACATTACTAAACTTAGGTCTAAGGAGCTATAGTAGCACAGTGGATAAAGCCATTGGCTGGTAACCAGACCATTGATCAAACCCCTCAGCCTCTCTGTGGGAGAAAGATGAGGCAATCTGCTTTTGTGAAGATTTACAGCTTTGGATACCCTATGGGGCAGTTCTATTCAGTCCTATAAGGTTGTTATGAGTCAGAATCTCTTATTGTGACAAATGGGTTAGGTAGTTTGTTGTTGTTGCTGTGTTTGCCATCAAGTCAGATCCCACTCATAGTGACCCCTCCTTGGGTTTCTGAGGCAGTATCACTACGGAAGTAGATTGCCCAACTTTCCTTCCGAGGAGTGGCTGGTGGGTTTGAACATCCAGCCTTCTGGTTAGAAGTCAAATGCCTCAGGCACTGCAAGTTTTCTAGTGTGCACATCAAGTTGGAACACGTGTTACACTTTCTACAGTGGATTTTCATACATTAGTTTGAATCATATGAAATGGCCGTTTTTGTGGATCAAAAATGGTTGAATATTGGTAAAGTCACATGGTTCAACCTAATTCATTGAACTGATTCAGTAGTCTCTTTCCACGGTGAAGGACATTCATCATGCAATTATCCAAAAGGCATTGAAAATGATAAAATTTTCATTTAATCCCTAATATTTATTTCTCATACTATTACCAGTATTGCCAATTGTTAACATTTCCCATAAATCTCTAAACTGGAAACAATAGATATGATATATATTTAGGTGTCTCCCACATTCATAAAACCAAAAAACAAGCCCACTGGCATCAAGTCAATTTTGACTCATAGCAACCCCCACTGGGTTTCCAAGGTGGTAAATCTTTACAGAAGTAGATTGCCTCATCTTCCTTCCACAGAGCAGCTGGTGGTTTGGAACTGCCAACTTTCTGGTTGGCAGTCAAATGCCATAGACACTGTCCCACCAGGGATCTCTTTGCCCACTTTCATAGGTGCTCATAAAAACAGTAAATGGAAATGAGAAAAAAAAAAAAAAAAAAAAAAAACCTCCTGAAAAAACTTATTTTAAGCATATCTTGGGTTTATTTTGGGAATGGGCAGTGTCTCCTCTTATTGTATTGGGGTATATAGTAGGGCAAACAGTGAACTTCAAATCAGAAGACTAGATTTTTTATTCTGATTCTATATTCTATAATCTATTAGCTGTATGACTTTGAACAAATTATATAATCTCTTTGATCCTCAATATTTTTTTAATATTTGTAAATGAAAAACATATGTAATAAAATTTATTTTGTAATGGAAATTAAGTAATATATGGAAAATGCAGTGTTTCATTCATTAACAATTGTTTGTTGTTGTTATTATGTGCTGTCGAGTCGGCCCCGACTCATAGCGACCCCTCCTTGGGTTTCCGAGGCAGTATCACTACGGAAGTAGGATTGCCCAACCTTCCTCCCGAGGAGTGGCTGGTGGGTTTGAACCGCCAGCTGTCTGGTTAGCAGGCAAGTGTCTTAGCCACTATGCTGCCAGAGCTCCCTAAATAACAATTAATTCTGAATCATAAAATCAAAATTCCTAGACCTTCAAATTATGACACTTGGAAACTGGTAGAGAACAGGGAAAATGTATTGAAAAGCCCTTCATGTATGAGTGTGTTGTACATTCGTGGGGACACGAAGATTTAGATTTCAAATGGATCTTTCATTCTTCCTTATGCCCATCCTTTGCTGGGTTAAAAGACAACCTTCTAAGACACAGGGGTTAATGAAATCTAACAGGATAGATAGGCAACATCTGACATCTAACTAATTAGAATTTGTCAAATTAGCATCTATGGGGAGATACTCTCTTTCCAAGGGGTTTCTTCCTATTAGGGGAAATAAAGCTACTTGTCTGGAGAGCTTTCCCAGAGAGTGATTTGAATCTTAACCAAATCTATTAAATAATTGTCTCTAGCTGATCCGATAAGTTTTAACTTGAGTAATGAAGCCTCTAATGGTATTTAATGTAACATGCCTAAAGTCCAACAATTGCCCTTCTGAGTACAACTAAACAATTTGAAACAAGACACATGGCATATACAGCATTAACGCACACAGCTAAAGAGGCAATTTCTCCAAGAACTATGGCACAAAACTGTCTCCCAATTGAAAAAGATGGTAGTTTTGGGGAAAAGAGAAGACCCACTATTTATTCAAAGTAACTGCAACTGCCGCTTGACCCTTTTGCATGCACTAAACCAAGTTCAAGAGTTCCCTGGATGTTGCAATCTTCCCATTTCTCCTGAGAGTGTCAAGTGAAATCCTTAGAATTTCTAAGACTAGAAAGCCTTCTAAAATATCAAAAGCTTTCGTTGTTGTTTTGAACTATATTCCACAGCACGGATCATAAAAGGTGGATATCTCACTGCCTGCTTTTTAAATGTCTATTATTTTCATTCCCTGGTCTTTTGGAAGCCTCAATCTGCTACCAACTTCCTAATGTTTCTAAAGATTTGTCTCCCACTGAAAACATGTTTGGCTTCCTGCTCAACGGATGTTTATTTTCCTTAGTTCAGAATAAGACATATTTATTAAAATGGCGAATTTCAGCAGCTCTAACAGTCTTTTTGTTGATATGACAGCTCTGACAATTTCATGCTTCTGATCAAATGATTGATCCTGATTTTACAAAAACAGTTTTACAGAAGTAGATTGTCTCATCTTCCTTCCACAGAGCAGCTGGTGGTTTGGAACTGCCAACTTTCTGGTTGGCAGTCAAATGCCATAGACACTGTCCCACCAGAGATTCCTTTGCCCGCTTTCATAGGTACTCATAAAAACAGTAAACAGTAAACATTGTCTGGACACTGACAGTGAGCCACAAGACAGGTTGTATGTGTGTGTATAACATGAAAAATGAATTAAACTACTTTTGGAAAAAAATCAAACTCACTATGAGCCAGTCCCGACTCATAGTGACCCCTCCTTGGGTTTCTGATGCAGTATCACTATGGAAGGAGGTTGCCCAACTTTCCTTCCAAGGAGTGGCTGGTGGGTTTGAACCTTGAGCCTTCTGGTTAGCAGTCAAATGCCTTAGGCACTATGCCACCAGAGCTCCTTACTTTCAGAAAGTAAGAAAAAAATGTTTAATTACCAATTAATCATAGATAAAAACTGTATACCAGACCAAAAAAACAAACTCACTGCCATCAAGTCAATCCCAACTCTCCTTGGGTTTCTGAGGTGGTATCACTATGGAAGTAGATTGCCCAACCTTCCTTCCAAGGAGTGGCTGGTGGGGTTTAACTGCCAGCCTTCTGGTTAGCCATCAAATGCCTTAGGCACTATGCTACCAGAGCTCCCAAAAAACTGTATAGGGTATATTATACATACATACATACATATATATATATATACAGCACATGAATACTTACTTTTATTAGTTAAATTTAGCAGCTACTGCCTACAAGCTAAACCACTAAGATTATATTGGAGTGTTCAACTCCAGAATATGGGAATAGATGGGAATCCAGAAAGTAGGTGTTAGACCCTGGATTAAGATACAAGGCCTTTCACATATTAGTTGCTTGCATTTCAATGAGTGAGTTTTTCTCCTTAAGAAAACAGAATCAGGGACAAAACTCTAGTATCTATAAGAATTCACCAAGTTTGAAAGTGGCTAATATATTAAACACAAATGCATTGTGCTAACAACAACAACAAATATAAGTAGAGCCAGCTTTAAGAAAAGGAAAAACAAAAATAAAACCCTATAAAAAATCCAAAATTTGAAACCAGTAAATTAGGGCCAAGCTTATTTACTTTGAAAAAGAAAAGATTACAGAGTTCGTATAAATAGAGGGTTTCCCTAGTGCATTTAAATTAATTAAATTTACTAACAAAACTATGAAATTTCAGGAGATGATTTTGAATAACTGAGTAAGCTAAATTGTTCAGAGAGGGAAGTAATAGTTGAAAATGTCTACTTGTTTCAAACCTGAGCATACTACCCAAATAGTCCTTATCAAGAATCACATCTGTAAGTCTGCATTATTATTCATATGGTTGGTGAAAACCAAAAACAAGAACAAAAACAAAGTCACTGCCATAGAGTTGATTCCAACTCATAGCAACCCCCACTGGGTTTCTAAGGCTGTAAATCTTTGCAGAAGTAGATTGTCTCATCCTTCTCTTGTGGAACAGCCGATGGGTTTGAACCACCAACCTTCTGTTTAGCAGCCAAATGCCTTATCCACTATGCCATGAAGATTGGTGACGTATATGATTTTGCCTCAAAATTCATAATTTACAAAAGGAAAATGGCAGATGCTTATGACTGAGGAAAGGATATCATTTATCCAAGAAATGCTTTCTTTTCTTTTACATTTCATGCAAGATCACCTACCAGAATCACTTTGTCCAAAGAGGTTGCCTTGCACCAGTGAAACAGGCCACTGCTATCAAGTTGCTCAGTGTTTCTGTCATTTTCATATAGAAAAGTCCTAAATAGGAAAAATGGAGAGTTAGTCTGAGGATTTTTGGGGTTCCAGTGTATGAAAACCAAGCCATGGAACTCATTACAGTGTTAGGCCAAAAGTGGAAAATAACATAAGGAAAATGATCTCAGGCCTATGAGACCCCAGAATTACTGTCAATGTGCAAAGGGCACCCAGAGCTGAATGCCCAGATTGTATTCTATTCTAATGAAGACATACTAAACACAGGAAAATGCCACAAAATTCTCGTTTTATTTTAGGTTGTATGTGCCTTAAATGTAGTTATTTATGTTCTTGATTTTGTTACTGTTTTGCTTGGGAAAACCAAAAGAGGTGTTTTGGGCACCTGAATACAGAACTTAAAAAGCTGTGAGAGATTGATATCTCTCCTTAATCTTCTTCTTCTTTTTTTTTTTTTTTTCTTCAACTCTTCTTTTCATCTCTTCCTTTATGGGTTCCTGTTGAAACATTCTTACTTATTTATTGTTTTTTACACTCTTTACAGCTTCTATCATTAGCCTGCATTTGACTAGGCTTTGCTTCAATTCTGGTCTCAGTCTTGGCTAAGCCCTCCATTTGACCACTCGACACTGCAGCTAGGCACAAATGCTTTTTGGACAATATATTCAGTCACTGAAAATGACCTTTTGAAATAGCACATTTATAGCCAAAAATCAAAACACTAAACTCACTCCCATACAGTCAATTCCAACTCATAGTGACCCCATCAGGTTTCCAAGGCTGTAAATCTTTATGGAAGCAGACTGCCTCATCTTTCTTCCACAGAGTGGCTGGTGGGTTCAAACCACAGACCTTTTGGCTAGCAGTCAAATGCCTTAACCACAACAACAGCAGAGCTCTTCCATTTACATCCTAGGGAATGCATATTTGCTTGTTAGAGAATACAGGAAACCCTGTAGAATCACAAAAATGTTAGAGTTAGAAAGGATATATATGCCTGGAGAATCTAGGCTGAGTCTGCAGAAACAACCTCAAAATCCCAGTGGCTTAACATAGCACAGGTTATTTCTGACTTGTACTATATATCTGACCTATGTGAGCAGATGTCTGTGCTCCACACAGCCACTCAGGACCTTAGGCTGGCAGAGGTTCCTCTGCTTTATGTCCACAATACCTGGAACATGCCTTCTTCTCAGTCATCAAGGCAGGAGAAGAGAAAAGTTTGAGACTAGAGAATGAAGCATGTGTTTTTTATTGCCTTGCTCTAAAGTGAAGGTGCTCTGGTGCTGTAGTGGTTAAGGCATTTGGCTGCTAATAAAAAGGTCGGTGGTTTGAACCCACTGCTGCTCCATGGGAAAAAGATGAGGCTGTCTGCTTCCATAAAGATTGATAGCCTTGGAAACCCAGTCGGGGTCATTTTGAGTTGGAATCGACTCAATGACAGTGAGGTTTATTTATTTATTTATTTATTTTGGTTTGCTCGAAAGTGACACACATCATTTCTACTCACATTTCATTGGCCAGAACAGTCACATAGTTCTTGTTAACTTTGTGGGCCTGGGAGCATGGTGTTGCCAGCTACTGTTGGGTCTAGTCAGACTCACGGTGATCTCATGTATGTCAGAGTAGAACTGCACTTTATAGAGTTTTCAAGGGCATGATATTTCAGAAAGCAGATCTCCAAGCCTGCCTTCTGAGATGTCTGTAGGTGGGTTTGAACTGCCAACATTTTGTCTACTAGTAGAGCACTTAACAAGTTGTGCCACCCAGGGACATCCTGGGGAGAAATAGAACCAATTAAAATGTTCAGTAAGCATGTCTTTCTCTGCCAAAGACTTTAAAGAGCAACCTTGTCATTTTATAGATAAAAGCCAAAGAGTTAATAAATTTTGAAGTTGACCCGAGTATGCTGCTGAGGTTGAGATTATTAGTGCTTATAATATCCAGTCTTCCTTTCAGCTTTCTTCAGTTATTCCTTAGAGGCAGATGGGTGAGACCACATGACTACTTCTGCCCAATGAAATAATGAAGAGAAATGACAGTTGAGGTAGTGAAAAGCCCTTGTGTGATACTTCTTTTAATCAGCTATAAATGAGGGCCTAAGTGAAGCAGAGTGCCCTGCTTCCTTAGGCTATGTTGGACATACAACATGGATAAGAAATAAACCTTGTTGTGTTAAGGCACTGAGATTTCAGAGCTATTACCACAGCAAAAGCCCATTTTATCCAAAGTAATATGAATACAGTTTTCCATAGAATATTAGTAACTGGAGAAGTCCAGAGGAAATTTTTTCTATGGTAAATAAAGGTTGACAAAAGCAAATTCTCTTTGAGACTCATACTATACTTTAGCACATGGAAAGTCTGAAAAATCCTGAAATTCTTTAAAATTGATATAACCCAGTATTTGACCACAAAACTATTTTCTTATCTATCTACCTACCTACCTACCCACTATCTATCTAGCTAGCTAGCTAGCTATCAGATTTCATTTTACTTTGGATCACAACACCCATGAAAACAGCACTCAAGAAATCAGATGTCATATTGCACTGGACAAATCTGCTGCACAAGATTTCTTAGGGTGTTGAAAACAAAGATGTCACTTCGAAAACTAAGGTACACCTAACCCAAGCCATGCTGTTTTCAATTGCCTGATATGCATGTGGGAGCTGGTCATTAAGTAAGGAAGACTGAAGAGGAACTGATGCCTTTGAATTGTGGTGTTATTAAAGAATACTGAAAATATGATGAATTGCCAGAAGAATGAATAAATCTGTCCTGGAAGAAGTGCAGCCAGACTACTCTTTAGAAGAGAGAATGGACAGACTTCATCTCACCTAATTTGGTCACATTTTCAGAAGGGACAGGTCCTTGGAGAAGGATATCATGGTTGGTAAAGCGGAGGGTCTGTAAAAAGGGGAAGATCCTCAATGAGATGGACACCGTGGCTTCAATGATAGGCTCAAACATAGCAAAGATGGTAAGCATGGCATAGGACCTAGCAGTGTTTCTTCTGTTGTAGGTAGTGTGGCTGTGAGTTGGAATCGACTCAATGGCACCTAACAACAATTATCTGTCTGTCTGTCTGTCTATCTATCTATCATCTGTCATCTGTTTATCATCTATCTGTTACTGTCTATTATGATCCCCCAAAATGCTTTTTGGGACATGTCACACTATAGGTTCAGTCTTGGTTAGTTTATGACAGCACTGCCCTGTGAGATTTTATTAAACCTTTTGATAGAGATACAAACCTATTACTTTCCTGTGCTGACTAGTTAGGGGTTTTCCCTGTGAATTAATGTACCTTGTTATTCAATACTTGACTCAGGCATCAACATAATGACTAGTAATTTTGCTCTCCTCAACCAGGTTGGCTTCTGAGTTCTTAGGTCATGATTTATCAGACAAAGGAACTTATTCAAACTTAGCTTGAAGTGTCAGACTTAAACAAATAGGATAGACAGAAGACAGGCAGAGAAGCAGAGTGTGGGGATTAAGGTGCTCGAGGGGTTTTGGAAAAGCAGAAACACTTTAATGAGATTAGCTAAGGCCTTGGTTCAGTTCTTTACTCCTCCTTCCATTTGAGACCTACCTAGGAACTTAGCCATTTCCAGTCATTCTCCAATCCAGAAGATGTTGTAATGTAAGTCTCAAGGATACCTTGACTAAAACGGATTATTTTGTCCATGGAAATTAACATGTCATTTGGTGGTTTAAATATCTATGAATTACAAGCTCCAACACAGAACTCTAAGAGCCCAGAGGCTCTCTTAATAGTACTAGACAGGACGAAGGAGATGGCTTTATGCCCAGCTTGTTTTAGCAACTCTCCAAGGAACACCCCTAAGATCTTAGTCTGGTTTTGATTTTTAGCAAGATTTGAAGAATTGACTATGTTACTTTTTCATGGAACTTTCCTTCTCTCCTTGTTTAGCTTCCTAGGACATTATCCCTCAGAGTCCTTAAACCATGTGCTGATATAATACACCCAAGTCAGTGGTGACTGCCTTTCACGGGCACTTTGAAAACAATTTGAAATAGTCATTTTCCTTTACTGAGGTGGTTTCCTGCCCTTTGACTTCAACACTCAAGTCTACAGCTACTACTACGTTTTTCCTTGTCACTTTCTTCAGCTTATCTCCCTTTCCCCCTTCTCTTCCTCTCCTGCAATGATGAATGAAGAGTCCTTGGTCTGGGGATTAAATGCTCTTTTGGAAAATGGAATATGATCTCACAAGCACATTTTAACTTGACTCAAAATAGCAAATCAATCACTGTACACTTTTCTATCGTAATAAAAGCATGATCTATGTACACAAGTTGTCATAGACAACATCTTTCTTCATTCTGATGTTATGGAAAACAGACATGCCTTTGAGGAAACACCTGTTGTAGACTTGCACAAAAGAAAAAGCTGGAGGAGACCCACTTCATCATCAAGGCATCCATCTGGTGTCCTTGCCAAAGCAAAACCTAATGCAATTTAGATCATCATCCCTTAACTGCAGCTCCCTTCTGCCATATGTTTTTCAAATGACATGATCCTTGCAGAAATATACCTTCCTAAAGAGACTAATATATCATCTATGAGAGTGCTTAGCACTAGCATTCTTAGAACTTTGAGTCAAAGAATAGAACATAAAGGCTAATGCTATTGAAGGAAAAGGTAGCCACAGGGCACCATCCAAGCCACTCAGGGCAAAAAGAAAAGGCACATCTTGCTAAAGGTGGAAGCTTCCTGAGTAAGAGGGCTTTGTGTGTATGAAAGGCTGGCAAGATTGTGGTGGTGATTTGAAATAAGTGTGAAATTGGTTCATGGATTCACAAGATATGCTTCTATTTCCAAAGCAACATTGTAGTACTCATCCTGGAAGGACCCAGGGAGATACTTAACCTGGGAATGTGTTCAGTTAGGTCTCTCTATCTTCCTTCCACCTTTGGAAGCTGATAGGTAGAGTGTGTTGGGTAAGAAGAGCTTTTGTAGTCAGTCCACTTGTACAGAGCAGCACCTGAATAAAGTTTCAAACTTTGTTTTCTAAT